AGAAAAAAAAAATAACTAATACAGAAAGTAGTCGACAGATATTTTTGTCGTCAATAATATATTATTATTATTCACATTAACAATTGGCTAACTATATGCAAATAATATTAAATATTAATATATATATATATAGATACACACACATACATGTGTATATATAAAGAAGGGTACATGAGCAATTTCGAGAGAATTCATCCGGTTGATTTGATTGTCCAAATTAATTATCATAATGAAAATTGAAGAATATGTATATATGGTGTTTATCCTCCCCTTTATGAGAAGTATCACATGCATTGCATACAATTATAAGTGACCTTTGCTTGTCGTAAGGGGTCCCTTCAAATTTTGTTCTATTAATTTTGCACAGAAAGGCTATATAAATCACACGTATGTGGAGTCCAATCTCGGGAGATATCTATCAGAGCCCCTCCACATGTATATACATATGTGTATATATATAATGATTTCCCACAATCCTCAGATTCTGGGTCTACCAGATGGAAATTTTAACCTCTCCACCAAACACACCATTAACTTGTCAACTTTTCCGAGATGAATGAAGAAGAATATGCGCTTTGCCAACATTTGAAAAACAACCAAAATCAAAACCCTACTCGATCAACAACTCTGACTATATATAAACATATATATATATATATATCTATATCTACATCTATATAAACTAATGCGCTTTCATATCCTCCACCTGGTCTTTAAAATCCTAAAACCATTAACCCACATGTTAAAATATTTGAAATAATTGATTTTTCCTATATCCTATAACTTTTTACTTCTTACAAATAAATATGAATGTCTCCAACTATCCCAGTTAATTAGCACTACGACCTTGAAAGTCAATGGAATAGACAATATATATATGTAGTTCGCTGGAATAACACACACAACGTATATATTTTTCTTGTTTCAATCTTAGGAAGATATCAACCACATGAAAAAATATACTATGACTTGATTGAAAGCTATAATGTATTGATAGATTGATCGTTAAAAAGAAGTCAAACTCTAAGATCCGTATATGTATATGCAGGTATATAGATATGCAACCGCTGTGTTTGCATTATGAAAACCATGGCAAAGCCATATTTCATAGGCACGAGTGAATGTTTTTAGTGTAGGCATATGTATAGGCCTCTTGGATCGTATGAGGATCATGACAAGTTGAAAATCACAGGAAACTTCTACCTTTCATATGGAATCCGAGTCTTGTTTTTAGAGGTTCCAAATATGATTTTATTCGTTTCAAAGAAAAATAAAAATAAGGAAGATGCTGAAGATATTCCAAAATGACAAATCAAGATGATAGACCCACTATTAAGAACAAGTGCAAACCGGGACCAACTAACCACAACCTCCATCAAAGTCGTATACGTACATATATATATATATATATATATATGCGCGCGCACACACACACACACACACACACGCAACAACCCTATTGCATGCGGCAAATAATTGTACTTGCATGCCTTCAACAAGATGATAAGTGACAGTGCAGGCACATATTCCTTGCGTGCTCTTATATACATATATGTATATATCATAATTATAAATATATGTGTATATATATATATATTATAGATATATAGATGGGTATGATCTTATCTAGGCATCTCATTGTGATCACCAATTTTTCATGCATGGTCCACAATTTTTTAGTGGTCGCCCATTGCAATTATCATCTCTCTTGCTCTCTCAAACAATCATTGTTGTCTAAAATTATAGTTCCAATGCATCCTTCATTTCAATATTTTGTCATGGTACATTCTAAAGATAGTTAAAATAAGGTTTACTTTTTGGAAAACTTCAATTAATTGAAGATTCCTCAATTTAATTAAGTAAAGTTTTTCAAAATATGTATATATATATATATATATAATTTTATAATTTTATTAAATCAAAATTAATACAAATATAAAAAAAAATTAAACATAATATATATATGCATTTCAACTTTATTCGATTCAAAGAACCAAATAGTTCATAAGAAAATTTATCGCACAATTACTTTGTTTCTTCATATTTTAACCAAAAACTAGACGTAATGATCTCTAAGGCTCAAATATATTAATTCTTCTCGTTCTTCCTCCTTCGTGCATCTAGCCTAGTCAACTTGTATTGAGGTGTTACGGAAATTAAAACGTAATAATATATACTTTTGAGACTAAATTGTATCATATATTAAAAGTCGTGAACTAAAATAATAATTTATTTAATTATCTGATTAAAAAATAATAAGTAAATTTTTTTTTTATTAAGAGATATTTTTATATGTTACGAAATAAGAGTAAAATCATATCCCGACAAAGGAGATAAGAAATTAGAAGGGTTCCTAAACAATTACGATTAGTGGGTTAGATCATGAAAATCTCAAAATTAAAATTACATATTACAAATAGATTATGAAAGAAAAATACATGTACCTTCCCGAAGAAGAGAGATGGAGAGGAACAACAATGCAAATATAAGTACATAATAAAATAATTATTATTTGTTTTAGAAGCCAAAGATTAGTCTTGGGGAGAAAAGTTTTGTCTCCCATCTCTTCAAGCTTAGTGGAATCCTCGAGTCAAACAATATCCCAACTATGTTCCTTTCTTTTTTATAAGAAGATTGAAGAAAAATCTTTTCAATATTATATACGCAACTCTAAGATTATACCCTAAATTTCAAGAACCTTCTCTTAAAGTTTTTGAGTGAGTAGTCATTTAATATAAGGGAGATCATATGTCCTATTTAAATACTTTCAAAAAAATAATTTAAAGTTGAATTAGATGAAGAGAAGAGAATCGATAAAAAATCAAAAAGCCGAATGATTTTGGACATAATCCATAACCGATTTGCTTTTTCTTCCAGTTGGCCTTGGAGAAAAATTTCTCTCGAAACCACTTTTGATGTTTTCTCTCCTCTTAAACCTCGTAATTTATTTCATTAACTTATCTAAATTAAAGTTTTCAAATTTTAGACTTTAAATTAAACCAAATAACTAATTACTAGTCCAACCAGTATTAGTAATTCAAGTAATAATTTAACTCTATGTATTTCATTCTTTTAATCGGATTCTAGATTAGTACTCTAATCAGGCCTAATCTAGGTTATTTTAACTCATCAATCAGAATACATTTTAATTAGTATTCGAACTTAAATTAAATTGTATCGAGACATTTTAAACGACCATAATAGTTCAGTCCATGATAAAATATTCAATGTTTGATTTCGTTAAGTTGACTATCACTAATTTACGATAAAATATTAAATTTAACTAGAGAGCGGAATATCATCTTTGAATTTGTATGTTTTGGTGGAGATGACCTGCTTTACATTATCGATAAATCTAGATTCGCTATCAAAAATTTTAAGAATTATAATGTCTTTGTCTCTCTCCTTTACCTGTATGTCAAAGTCAATCACTCTCACATTCAGATCTTAGAAAATAATTTCGAAGCTGGCTTTATATAGTGTGTGTGTATATAGTCTATCAGAAAATTTTTAAAAAGAAAACAATGTTTCTCTAGGTGGAAACGGCTATATAATCTTGTCAAATCAAGATATATCATACACTGCAATCTTTCCATTATTAGCTGACTATTTTCTGCCGTTTTGTTTTTCAACTGTTAGTATACATAACTTTTTATGAATCTTTATATATTAAAAGCAAAGCTCAATCTTCGTGTTGATAATTAGATAAGATTGGAGTTTGGGAGAAGGGAAGAGCCAGATAAGAGATTCACGTATTGAATACTTGCTCCTCTTGCTATATCCTAGAAAGGGGAAGCAAGAAAGGGACAGATGCTGCCCATTTGAGATACATATTCATACCAGATCTTTACTGCAACTAACACATGAATCTGCAGATCTCAATCTGTTGGGCACCAAAATATATATATGTATATGTAGATATCAATACCCGACAGTTGATGGGTTTCATTTCAGTTGACCACACAGCACATGGCCTTCCTTTTATGCACTATATATGTTCGCACATACATATATATATATATATATATATATATAATTGGCCAGGTTACTATATGTTACCCAGACAAGAAGCTTTTTGAAAATCAAGTTTTAAGTAATTATTAATGCATTATAGACTTTTGTTTTGCTGGACTCATTTTTTGTAGGCAATCTCAACCACTAATTTAAAAGTCTGGGTCTTTAATCAGAATAGCACTAAAATCAGCTTTATATATATATATATATATATATATATGTATGTATGTATGTATGTATGCATACATGTAACTTAAATTAAGATATACATTAATTTAACAGTCGAGGAGTAATTCTTTGCAAGATTGTACTGTTAAATTAATTTATTCGGCGGACACTGTAATCTTCATGTTCTTTCTTCTTTGAGTTACCACCAAGATTTCTTTTTTTTATCTCTTGCTACCATCCATCTCCTCCCTCAGAGAAATCTCTATCCTCCCACTTCAATTTTAGGGAAAAGTTTATCGATTGCGAATGTCATCTTCAATCAGAGCCTCGCTCTGCTTTTGCTTTTCTTCCGTGCATCTCGATATTCCATTGTTGAAAACAACGAAAGGGTAGTTCTAGAGCTTGTGAGGAAATGAATGTAAAGACAGAGAAATTCAATATATATTTGAAGCCCAAGCCCAAGCCCACAACTTGGTTGCTATTGCCTCCTCCCCCCAACAAACTGGCTTTAAGAATGGAGCCTCTCTGGTGCGCTCGCTCACCCACCCCAAACACAGTTCAAATTCTTTAATAACTTAGCAGACAGGAGCAATGGAGGCCGCGACGACTCTCCATGTACTGTACATGCGGCGGTTGGCGGCCCAACAGCCAGACCGTATTTCACAAAACACGGAATTATTTATATAATATTTGTAGGGTCCACCTTTTTGCTTTTTCATTCACATTACTTTTCTCATTTATTAATTACAATTTAAAATTACGTGAAAAAATAAATAAATAAATAAATAATTGGAGTAACGACGATAAAACTGGAATCTCGGGTAAAAGCCACACACTGCCTGTCTCTCACTCGCCACTCCACTCGCAGGAACAGACTAAGCACCACTCAAAAAGCGTGATTTTCAGAGAGAGAGAGAGAGAGAATCAATGGGTACGGAGATGGTCGGAAGCCACACGAGAAGAAAATGGATAGGTATACTTGTGCTTCTCCTTGCTGGTTCGGCTTCTGCTGCAGCTCCAATACAAGATGGTACGCTTTCTCTCGTCTTTTCTTCGTCTTCTTCTTCCTTCACTTGTGATTACTAGGTAAGATCTGGCTACTGCTTTTCTTCTTCACATTTCTATGGATTCTTCGTGAATGCAATTTGATTTAGAATAACTACACTCTGTGTGTGCGTGTGCTAATTGGTTAACGGTGGAGAATACGGTTAGAGGAATCGATTGACGAAAAACAAAATCGTTCCAATCGTTTCGTTATTAGCATGGAGAACGGTAGTAGATCTTAACACACACACACATACAAGGTAGCGGTAGTGATAATATACTCTTCTTTTCGCACTGTAAGCAAAACATTAAATAACATTTGATTACTCGTATCATTCATTGCAGAAGAAAATTGGGGGTACGCACTTAGATTTCTCTTTAAAAAAAAAAACCTTCCTCAGCTGTTTGGCGCTTGAAAAATCAACTTCTCTTAGACTTGTTTTACGGCCAGGTTGTAACCAATTACAAGATTTTTCAACTTCATTTCTTTGTTCGCTGCTTCTGCAAAAGTTTGTCCGGGCCTACCGCGGAGATATTTCTTTTGTGATGTGTCTAGTATTCTTGAGCAATCCCCACTTGAAACAAAAGTGTCTTCCACAGTCTTCCCCGACCAAATCATCCCAATCAAATGAATCCTCTGTTTTCTCCTCATTTCCTGCTGCAATTTTGACCAAAAACCTCTTCATTCTTTGAAAACTTTACTCCCACACTCTAATTATATATGTAATCCATCTTCATCAACCCTAATTTTTATATTTTCGTGCATAAAAATTAACTGTAAATGAAACTCGCTAAAGAAACGAGCAAAGGAAAAAAGGAAGACTGGGATGCGGTGGGTCCCTAGGGTTCTTTTTCTCATCAATAGACTACATACATTCCCGCCAAGCGCCAACACTGAGTTGCTTTTTACCTTAATTTAACAAAACGACAGCGTAGCAGCTTTCAGTATGCTATTGCTACCGTGTTTTTTTTTTTTTTTTTTAATCACCGTCTTACCTTCTTTTTGACTTTCGAGTCTCTCAAGTCGCTTGGAAAGCTGATCCCAAAACGGTGCGAATTGGTCCCACACGCTTAACGCGGATTCTTTTCTCAATCATTTCTTTTCTCGCGTAAAAAGTGATGGGCTTACAGTGGTTTCATTTTTTAGAAAAAACATGTTTTGCTCTTTTTTCCCCATAAATATTTAGTATGTAATGTCTTTCTTCCTTTTTGAATTTTTATCAGATGCCTCATGATAATTGTTTAGATGTTAAGTGCTGTACAATTCTTGTCTGATTAAGTGATGGGTGACGGTATATTTGCCTTTTAATGTAGTCAATATCAGTATAGTATTTTGTGATAATGAAGTATATCTACTCTTGCATTCCCTTTATTTATTTCTCGAAATATGCAGATGCCACACATTCTGTGTGATTTAACGATGCCAAGTTGTTTCTAGCTGTAACCCATAAGCCATAGTTTGGATATTATTTTTTAGTATTGTAGTTCGAACGAATTAAGAAACTTTAGAATTTGTTTAAATTTTTTGGACATTCTACAAATTTTTTTTTAATTAGTCATTTCTAAGGGTCATGCTTGGAACACATTTGAGATTTATAGACAGTTCATTTTGTAAAGTCATACTTACTTAAACAAGAACATAAGAAAAATTCTAAACAATAAGTTTTTTTAAAAAAATTTCGTATAATCTAGAAAATGGTGTTTTGAAATTTTATTAATTTTAATGGAGTAAACTGAAGAATGCTCAGTCATGACTTAATTTTTGTAGATAAAATTTTTAAAGTTTAGAATTGAGAACTTAGTGGGGTTCTATTTTTGGCAGGTTTGGTAGTAAATGGTGATTTTGAGACGGCTCCAGCGAATGGTTTCCCGAGCGAGGCGATGTCGGATGGGCCCGCGGAGATTCCAGGGTGGCAGAAAAACGGCACCGTGGAGTTGGTATCGTCGGGGCAAAGACAGGGCGCGATGATACTCATCGTCCCTGGTGGTAGTCACGCCGTTAGATTGAGCAACGACGCGGAAGTCAGTCAGGAACTGGCGGTAGAGAAAGGGTCGATATATGCTGTAACGTTCAGTGCGGCTCGCACGTGCGCAGACGACAGGGAGTCGCTGAACGTGTCGGTACCGCCTTCGAGTGCATCGCAGACGATAGACCTGCAAACATTGCATAACGTGCAGGGATGGGACCCATATGCGTTGGCCTTTGAGGCAGAAGAGGATAGCGTGAGGTTGGTTTTTAGGAATCCGGGCATGGAAGAGGACCCCGCCTGTGGGCCAATCATCGATGACATTGCTGTCAAGAAGCTTTTCACCCCTGATAGGCCCAAAGGTAATTTTCTTATATATAAAATCTATATACCATTTTATCTTCTCTTGTTCTGCTACATTTTGGGAATATACACTTATTTCTATTTAATCAATAGAAAGTGTTGACTATAAAAAACTGAAATTACCTTACTACCTTGTATCTACTTGCAATCACCATGGTACCTTTCTTGTTTTTATAGTGGTAGTGGGTATTGTATTCTGGAAATACCGATTAATATGTTTCGTCATTTTTGTCTTATACCACATTGAAATTATAGTATATCTTTTAGCATTAAAACTTTTTTTTTTCTTGACAAACCATTGTTTAATTTTCATCATGATTTAATCTAGGTTTATATGTATGGAAAATTCCAACGAAATAAAATCTTGCATTATCAAATAGCATTGACATTTTCTACATAAATAACATCAAACAAATTTTATTTGTTTCTTTTTTTTCTTTCTTTATTGTGGAGAAAAGTAATTTAAATCATGGGCAGCTCAAGGGTACGGCCCAGCATGCGTGTGGATCTGATGCTAGCATCCAGTGTGAATGGGTTTATAGTTGTAGGCAATATCCCTTTCAGTTCACTCCTTTTGTGATTCTCAAAAGCAAAATTAATCCAAGTTCCTTATCCTAGAGAGACAGTATAAAGAAGTTTAAGACCCACCAAATTAATGGTCGGTCCAATTGGAAGGCTCAAAGTGTTGGTTATATAGCTATTATTATATAATAATATATTAATATTTTTCTATCAGTTTAAGTTCTTGAAAAATTTACTTGGTTCCATTAATTAATAATAGCTAGGGTTTTGGTTTATAGTACACTTATTTCAGATTGTTAATTACCATTGTAACTTTAATGTAGGAAGGTAACTTAAGTAGTTGCTTTGCAGTAATAGTTTAGGAATTTGACCCTTAACCAGACGTAGAACCTTTACTCCTCTAAAATTCCTTATTCAATTTCTACTTTTTTAATAAAAAAAAGAATTAATTCGTGAAGTGGGTATCTGGTTTCTTTATTAATCCTCTTTACTTTACAGAACAAGGGTGATTATTAGGAAAACAGAAATGTAATAGTTTCAGACTCTCAGAGAGGTGGGTACTGTTTCAATAATCCTCTTTAATGTATAGAAACATTATCAGGAAAACAAGAATAAAGCAATTTAAAGACAGTATGATTGCTTCAATAGTAGTTGTATTTATAATAAACATGTGCCATCATAGTAGCTTTGGGGAAAGCATGAAGCTACTATGATTTGCTGGAAATTTTGCTTCATAGTATTTGGTCACTTTTTTTTTTCAGGTCTAGGATTCTTTACTTCGTAATATACATTTAATACGTACTTTTATATAGCTTTTGCATTAATCATATTATGATAATCACGAACGGAGATTCTTTTCTTGGTATATATACATTTTGTTGCATGATAAGATGGTGACAAAGTCAGCATGCACGACCGTCAACTAATCCACCTCTATTTAATATATATCTTGATCATTAATGCTCAAGATTCAGTCTTTCAAGACTCAATTCAAGCTTTTACATATATAGCAGAAACTATTATCATTTGTATAGATTGGGTTGATCTGGTAAAGGCATATGAAACTTCTAAATTAATAGAGAACTTTAGTACAAACTTGAAATTGTGTTCTGTTTGTTGTTAGATTTCTTTAACAACAAACTTTGAGTTTCTGCTTTTAACGAATGTAAACGTAAACAATACATGTTTATGTGTGCGTATAAAGTCATCATACTTGACCTGTGACTAAGTTGCTTTAAAATGCACACATATTTGATTTGATTTCACATGAGTTGTTAATCACCACGGACACTTTCTGTACAGGCAATGCAGTGGTGAATGGGGATCTCGAAGAAGGTCCATGGTTATACAAAAATGTTTCTCTTGGTGTCTTGCTGCCAATGAACCTAGACGAAGAAATCTCACCATTGCCAGGTTGGAATGTGGAATCAAACAGGGCAGTTCGTTTCATAGATTCCAACCATTTCGCAGTTCCACAGGGCAAGCGAGCCATTGAGTTGCTCTCTGGAAAAGAAGGCATCATTTCTCAGATGGTTGAGACCACGCCTGACAGAGAATACAGCTTGTCCTTCTCTCTAGGAGAAGCTGGAGACAAATGCAAGCAGCCATTGGCTGTTATGGCTTTTGCTGGTGACCAAGCTCAGAACTTTCATTACATGGCCGATGCCAATTCCACTTTCCAAACTGCTGCCCTCAACTTCACGGCCAAAGCTGAGAGGTCAAGAATTGCATTCTATAGTGTGTATTACAACACCAGGAGCGACGACTTGAGCTCACTGTGCGGCCCAGTCGTGGATGATATCCGGGTCTGGTTTTCAGGGTCTTGCGGAAATGATTTTGCAAGACTAAGTTCAGCGTTAGGGTTTTTAGTTTTCGCACTACTCTTTGTTTAAGGCTATAGTATATTTTGGGAAGGAGTCAAGTGGATATGTTGTGTTGGGTTATATTTATATTATTTACCTTATGGCTTGATAGGGTATGCAATGTAGGGTTTTTGGTAAAACCAAAATCTCCACTCCTCTTGTATGTTTGCTTCTTTCCTGAGTTTTTGCTGTAAGAAATGAGAGTGTTATATCTCACTTTTGTTTATGAATAGTATCTTAATATATATATATATATATATATATATTCTTTTTCGGCCTACCAATTGTCATAGTAAACATTAGTTTATTCAAATTCATAAAAATCGTAACATTATAAAATCTTAGTTAATAGTGGTTGAAATTCACTGTTGATTGCAAATATAAAATTGTCTGAAATGTAGGTGTTGATTGGTATTTTTTTTTAATTTCATTTGAAAATTTTAAGTTAAAAGGTAATATTTTGACGCGAATTTTAGACTTTAACATATTTAATTTATTCAGCGTATTTATTATTTTGACAATAACTATAACGATTAAAAAAAATATTTTAATTAATATCACAATATATTTTTCTAAAAAAAGAAAAAAAAAAATTGATAATTCATTATAATTCACCCATAGCAATTTTCATATTTCAAAACTATTGTAAATTAATTACTACTGTATATTTCTCGATTTTAATACTATTTTAACCAATTTTCCTTTTGAAGTCTTCGGTTTGATTCTATTGTTATAGTATTTTGCAGTCCTGTAGGTTATGCATGTCATTTAAGCTTCATCTTAGGATTAAAGCAAGCTTTATGGATACTTATGATACGGTTAATCCCAAACATATTTGACCGAGACCAAACAAATAAGTTAGGATATTATTGCATAACATAGTAACCGTACGTTGCTCCTTACTCTAAGTCTAAAAATAGATGGATCATTTTCTTCTATTGTCTTTTTGTCCTTTTCTCTACTCCACCTCTCACGTACAGAGGTTTTTTATTAGGAAAACTTGCTAAATTGAATACATAGGTGATTCTAGATTTTATCGCAATATTAATATGATGGTCAAACTGGTATGAGATAGACATGAGAAAAAATAATGAGACTGAAAGAGTTAGAAAAAAAAAATATAAAAAGAGTCCGAAAATCTTCATTGGATTAATTATCTAGTATTTATGGTGTATCAGTATTTATTGATTTCTCACAATTTCTCATTAATAAATCTTAATAAATGATGAAGATAGTAAATCCCCTCAATTGTTAGTAATAATAAATTATCTTTAACGACTGATATAAGTGAATAGATATTCAGTTAGCACCTAGCGACAAGTATGTGCTATCATGTATTTTTTGAAATTGTAGACATCATCAAGTGATAATATGGCATATATCCATTTCTTACTAACTTGTGGTTATAATATATAGATGTTATATGTGTTTAGTTATATTTTCATCACTCCTTAGTTGGCAACTTCATATCATTTTGATATTGTTCTAATATATAATGTGCTTTTTAAACAAGGGAATATCAATAACTTTGTCAGTCATATGTTGAGAAAATCACATGCAAAAATGTGGAAGCAATAATGTCTAATAAGCAAATTTTCTATTTGTTTGTAATCTAAAGTGAGTAAACCATCAAGTTATTAATCAAGCAAAATATTCCGAGCAACATAATTAAAAAGACAACAAAATTTTTTATAGAAAACTCGTTAAAAAAAAAACTACGAGACAACAATCTAATAAATTTGAAATAAATTTTTAGTATATTAATAACTTGGACAAAAAAAGTAACTATTGGTAGAACTCTCGAAGGATTATGTCAATAGATTTAGATATATTTAATAGAAATGATATCTGGTTGCTATAAACTCTACCTTCTTCTATAACTTTGATTGCCAAAGTACAACATTTCTAAAAAATGTAACGAAATAAGTAAAAATATACTTTTTTTTTATTAACATTTTCAGTCTTGTATAGATATGTGAATCATATTAATATGGAATCTTAACTCCTAAGAAATGATAGAGTTTTGAGATTTTATTGATATGTCTGTTAAATTATTTCTCGTATTTCGATACTTTATGCTTGGATAAAGTAAATATTTATTAATAATTCTAAGTATATGAGGTAAATTTAACTTGGTATATACTAGATAATATATTAGACTTCTTGTTATTGAAATGTATGGAACATGTTTCGTATTTTTCTTCTCAGATCTCGAGAATATATATTGTTTTGTACTTGGATTGAGATTATTAGAAAGAGGAACGTTAACTGTTTTGATATTCTTGCATTAAATCTGTCGAAAAATTTTATTACTGCATTATTTTTGAAATAACCACAAACTTTCAATATCGTAAATAACTTCGTACTAAAAAATTTATATAAAACTCAAAATCTTTTTGTAGAAAATTACTTACAACATGTCATCCCCTTGTTATATTTGAGCAATGAAATTGTTGGAGACATGCGCATAACGTTGAAAAATGACTCTTCATGGTATGTAAAACGGAGTCGTTTAGCTCATCCCCCAGCAAAGAGGGACGAGGAAATGGCAGGTAGTATATTTAAAGGGGAGAGTGTTGAGCCGAAAAATCGAGAGAGCAGGAGAACAGAAAGGGCGGGAGGGTTTCTTCCATTTGTACAGTTCGAATCACTACTCGCTACCCCCTTTCTCTCTCTACCTCTCTCGCTCTCCAAGCATGGATTTGGAGGAGGGCCCTACCGTCGCGGCCGCCGCCGTTGGTTTGGGCTCGTCACCACCAACGCATGATCTTGAGTCAACTCCGATTGGATCTCCGGAGGACATGGTTCCATCGTACTTTCCTCCCCCGTCCGATGACGATCATGAAAATGATCTCGGTCAAGATTCCAAGCACGAGGACGACCGAGATCATGACCACGGTCATGATAAGGATCACGATTATCAGTCCACTGGACCCGGCGTCGTCCTCACTGATGATCTCAAAAGCAAGATCATTAAGCAGGCAAGGGAACCCGCTATCTTTTCTAAATGTGCTGTTATTTGTTAGGTGTTTGTCGTCATTTGCTGTGTTTTCTTACTTTTTACTCTTAAAATTGAACCCTAGCACTCTATGCGCCTTTTAGTGGAGAATGAAGTTCTGATGCTAGGACGATTTAGTAGTTTGTTATTGGAGTTTGAGCAATATTATTCTCCGTTTCGATTTTCTTCGAACTGATATTTCTTATGTGGTTATTGATTTTTCGTTCGATATTAAACCCTACAAACTTTTAAGCTTGCAGTTGGATTGCGGTAAAATACAAGAAAGAACGAACAAAAGAATTTTATTTTTTTAAAAAGATTTTTATACATTTGGTTATTGGAACTTTTACTTTGTCCAGCTTAACTGAGTTGTGGAACACTAAAAACAGGGAGACAAGTATTGTGTTTGGCTCCGCAAATGGCAGTCTTTTCTATTTTTTTTCTAAGAGAAGCTAGAAGTCAAGTATGTTAAAAAAAAAAAGGTTCGATTTTGGGAAACAGAAAATATGTGGTTTTGTGCTAATTAATGTCATGGCTTCGAGATTAGGTAGAACTTTCACTGTTAAATTTAATGGATAACAAATTCAATCATGACGTTTACAACTTGGAAGTTTACTTGTGGCTTGTAAGTGTGATATACGTACCAAATCATACTACATCTTTGCTGTTAAACAAGTAAGGTTTGAATTTTGTCATTTTTTTGGCAACTCTTCATGTTGCAGGTTGAATATTATTTCAGTGATGAAAATTTGCTCACTGATAAGTATATGATGAGTTTGATTAAGAAGAACAAGGAAGGTTTTGGTAAGTATTTAATATCTAGTTGACGTATATATTCACACTTTAGTTCAGCATTAATTTCACATTGATACTGAAAAATGGCTGACATAATTCCGACCCATATGTGGCTCTGCACATGTGTGGTATTGTATTCTTGTTTTCAAACCATTATTTTGTTGAGACATGTACCACATCAGTTATCAGGCAACATTTGCAATCCACATCTTTAAGTTCTTACTTCTGTGATACTTGAACCCCTTGCAATGAATTACTGTCAAACAATTAAACATATATTTTAAAATGAACTATATGCATGTGTCCACTCTACTTATCCTCAATTCTTCTTTTCCTTCTGTTCTTTATTTTTTGTTATGCTGTTGAACAGAATGACAAGCTTATTTCTCTTCCTAAATCCAAAGAAAAAAGTCAAAGCTTATTTCTTTCCCTTTCCCTTTTGTATTTAGTTTGGATAAAATTATAGGGATATGTTCTGCATTAAGATAGCTTGGGAAAATAAGACTCATACCTTCTCAACCAATAAATGACTTTGTTTTCCTTACAACATGAAGTGAAATAGATAAGAACTGTTTGAAATAATTGACAAATCAAGCATCTTGAGATGCTTGCTTTGGTAATGAATCTCAGAGATTCTCTAGAATAGAGATGATGGTGATGAAATAAAGCAGGTACTTATTACAGGCTGCCTACCGTGGATGTTCATGGTGTAGCTAATTTTTCTTGCTGTGCCGAACTTCCGGAGCTCAGTCTGAATGACTATGCAACTACTGCTTTCTGATTTCTCTCTATTCATATAACTATATGTTTTTTGAAGACCAGCATAGACTTCTTTTTTTTTTTTCTTTAATCTCAAGTTAGTACACTGCAGCGATGGCTGTGGGATCTAATCTAAAGGTGTACTAGTAAGATGCCTTTCGATGCCATAAAAAGTGCAATTCAACTCTTGAACTTCAATCGGAGAAATTAAGCTCTTACGCTTTGATCTGGATACATTCAAGTTCAATTTAGAACCATAGAAAGCCTGGTGTATGTTGAATATTAAAATTGAGGGGGAAAAGCCTTTGACTTTCCTCTAATGCTAATCTGAATTTATTCGCATTAAATTTAACATGTTCATGTCCCTATTGTCTCCATGTAGTTTTCTTTTTGTCTATACGTAGGTAGTGATAAAATTAGATTTCTGGCTAAAAAGTTCAAAGAAAGAAAACATGACTTCAACTAATTTGATATTGATATTAAAGTAGGAGTTTTTTCATGCTTAGGTCATCCTTTGACAGAGCAATGCGTTTAAATTTTTTATGCAGTTCCTATTTCAGCTATTGCTTCTTTCAGAAAAATAAAAAAGCTCACCCGTTATTATCCGTCAATAGTGGCGGCACTTAAGGAGTCTTCCTTGCTCGTAAGTGTCTCTTTCTGTTTCATAATCCAGAGCTGTTCCTAGTAGTGTTTAGTTAAGAAACCCATTGTATTCTTACAGTATTTTCTTTTTCTACCAAACACCTGCAGGTTGTGAGTGCAGATGGGAAGAAGGTAAAGCGTCTTAATCCTCTACCACTTACTGATGTCAGAGATTCAAAGGTACTACATTGAAGATTTTTTTAGCTCTCGCATGATCTCTTGCTTTATTTCTAGACATTGTGGCATCTAATTTCTGGACCGTAGTTATTCACTGTTTTAGTAGAAAATCTGCCAGAGGATCACTCAGTGGAGAACATTCGAAAAATATTTGGTGAAGCTGGAAAGTATGCTTTTCTTTTCCTTATGAACTCTTTCCATGCCTGGTGGTGTGACTTGAATTTTAGGTTTATCATTTCTGCATTTTAACATGCACTTTTTTCCCCTTGATGTACAGTATAAAAAGTATATCCATTCGTGACCCTCATGCTATGGAAGAGTCAAAAAAAAGCATCAAGGCAGAGATCTTGCTCACTACAAGGGTATGGAGCCGCAAAATTGTCTGGGACGAACTTTTGTTATGTGATTATAGCAAGTTCTTTATTACTCTAAAAATTTTGGATCAATGTTTAAGTTTATCTTTCTCTGTAGTTGATTTGATGAAATTTTTTTATTAGTAATTTAGTATAAATCTCTTGGCTTGGATAACTGTGGTTATTCTGCAACTAACTAGATATTTTTGTTGATTATGATTCTGAAATCAAAGTAATCTTTTATATTCTTTAATATTTATGAGACTGATATATACAATGTGCATTAGTTGCTTTTACTAATGACTGTTGGGCACCCATTTATTAGGTAGGCAACTTTCTCTCACCTTATTTATTGATGTTTTCAAATCATGTCAGTTGTTGAAGGAGGCAATATAGGAATTTTCCCATGCCTTCTTTGTCGTCAGAATGGTTGAGATATATTTTGGCTAGTTCTATGCATAAACATTTCTTCTTTTGTTGCTGTCATGTGAACTAACTTGCAGTTCTGTTAGTGTTGGCCAACTTTAAGTCCTGAAAACCGGCCAACTTTTGTTTCTACCGGGACCATAGTAAAAGAGATTGGTGATTAGGGTAGAAAATCAACCTGCTGGCATAATTTAATCGATGGAGCAAGCTTTAATAGTAGTGATGGCAATGGTGTTATCCTACCTGCTACTTAGTCATACAAGAAGAGGAGAAATTGACACCTATTGAATGAGTAGTTTCTGCATTTGAACAGTTCTTTTGTTAAGTCATTGTGGAGGACATTTTTTCCGTAATATTTTTCTCAATTTCTCTTCTGATCTTAGAATCTTTTTTGGGGAAGACCTAATGCTTTGGTGAACTAATTCTTCTGCTTTCTTCTTATAGTTACATTCTCTTGTGGAGTATGAAACAGAGGAGGCAGCTGAGAGAGCGGTGAGTATTGAGTAATTCCTGCAGTAGTTTCTGCATAGGGTTCATGCGTAATTGTGTTGAATGAATCTCTGCACTTCTTTGGTAATTGGATCAGGTGGCTTTGTTGAATAATGACCAAGATTGGAGAAATGGTTTACGGGTCAAGCTTCTTAAGAGAATGGTAATTGGTTCCAGATTTGTCTTTTCTGGTATTGTTTATCGCAAGTGCTAATTTTAAGATTGTTTACTATAGGGAAAGTATGGGCAGAAAAGACATGCCTGGAGGGCACCTGATTCTGAAAAGAACATTGGTGGTCGGGCATCTGCACAAACAGGTGGTGAGGAGAATAACTTTAGTGGACATCATGATGATACACCTGATGAAGAGGTAGCTCAGTTACATTCTTCTTTGAAGCTGTTCACCCTATTTCCTACTGAAGCTTTTAACTGTCTAAAGCCTTTTCTACATATGTTTCTAGATGTGCATTTTGAATGTTTGATAGGAGCTTTTTTGAAGTTGTTAGCCCCGAATTTGAGGTTGTTCTTGAAAATATCTATTTTAAGCTTTCACATGCATGAAACTCTTGCCAGGATTTGGGGCCTCAGTGGGTTATGTTCACGGGTTAGTTAACTGTGATTTTACTAAAAAAGGCAAAGCAAACTGAATAGTTTCACAAAATGTGGGACCAAATGGAATTGTACTTTTTGCAATCAATAGTTAGTCAAATTGAATCAATTACAAATGAAAAATTAATTTAACAAATAAGTTTCCATTTTAATTATATTTCATCTACAATATGTAATTATCGAATTTTCAAATTTTCAGGATAAAGTTCATAAGAAAATGTTAAAAATTTTAAAGATAAAACTGAAATATGCAACTAACATTAGTAAACTTTTATAACTTAGTTTAGGTATTCTAAAATTAAATTACAAAAACTCTTTCAAGGATACAATATATTAAATTTGATTGTTTTATGTTTATTAATTCTGTTTAAATATGTTCATATACACATATAATTTAAACATATGTTACATTTATAATACAAAACATGTATTTAATATGATTGTTAACCTTTTGAATTTTCAGTTAATGGCAGTTTCTTTAAATTGTAAACTAAACTCAAACTATCATTCTGATAATGTTGGATTTTGCAGTTTTCGCCGGATTATCTATCTTTTATTAACCCTTCTCTTAGCGGTCATAGGATAATATGGAAATAAGTTTAATTTTCTTGAAACCTTATTTCTCCTTCCTTTCTTATCAGCTTTATTCTCCTTTACTTTTGTTCTCTTGATCTGTTCTAGAAGTGTGCATTTTTTTCAATGTTGTACTATTCTGTGCACTTCTTTGGGCATCAAGATTTGGGTTTTGAATTATTAGTTTTGGATTTATAAATCCCTGCTCTTATTAGTGCCAATCAAAGGTGAATTACTTTTTGCATCACAACTTTTATTCGGTGGTGAGATTGAGGCATAGAACGCAGATTGGAGTAGATTATCAACAAAGTCTGTTCACTGGGAACGATCATGGGCCACTATTTG